TGATAAATTTAGACATTATATAGAATTCTATGGTATATCCCAAGTGTGAAGCACATAACATTTAACAATACTCTTAAGGGCACTGACATTTTTTGTGAAGTTTGAGAGGTAATGGAGGTAGGGGATTAATATGGCACAGCGGGTCCAATTTAATCCCACTTTTTTGTGCATTTATTTAGATATATATTAAGAGAACCATAGTGAGTAATTTTTTTAGGTATTTAAGCCGAAGTAAGGTGGAGAATATTATAAATTTCTACATAGTTTGAAACTGGCATTAATTTCAGAGTGTGGCATTGTATAAGTAAATCACCAAATAATTAAATAATTTTTACAGGATAATTTTTATAAATAAACATAGTTCCGTTAAAATTAGAAAATGGATAGAACCATATGGTATATCATATATGCAAAGTATGAAACACTTGAAATATTCTCATGAGCACTAAAAAATGTTGGTGAAGTTTGCGAGAAATTAGAGACAGGTGATTAGTATGGTATAGCGAATTTTATCTTAAACTACTTCTTTTTTTTTTTTCTCTCTCTTAATTGTATGCCTAAGCTTTTAGGTCGGTAACTATAGGATTGCGGTTCAGGGTCCAGTTTTGTATAACTCGGCTTCAAAGATAAGGTGCTGAAGTCTCGGGATACCTCATGCCCCACTATGTGCCCAATTTTTTCAAGGCAAAAATATCGAGGGGTGGAGGGGTTAACATCCATCCCCTGTAGGATTGTCTCACTCTCGGAGAGAAGTGAAAATGGGGTAATCAATATATATATTTTTTGGTTGTTTTTTGGGGGGGATATTGCTCTTTCCCTTGTAATACGAGAAGGAGGTCGATCCAGGCCAACTTGGTTGACTCGACCAGGTGGCTAGGTTTTTTTATGTAATGTTTATGTTAAGTTATTATGTGTAAATACCTCGTTGGGGGTGGGTGGTTCTCTCTTACACAAGAATATGGTTATAGTGATATCTGTGAATGTTCACAGCCTGAACTCTCCTCAGAAGCAATCATTTTTATTTAATTATATGACCCAGAATAAAGTTGAGGTCGGATTCTTTCAAGAAACACACTGGAGGGATGTAGATAATGTTAAATGGGGAGGTAACAGATTTCATATTTTAATTCAAGCCTCAGTTAAAGACAAAAAAAAAAGAGGAGTAGCGGTTATATTTTCCCAATCAATAAAAGTTGAAATAATACATCAAGCTAAAGACCCTGTGGGTAGATTTGTAATTATTATTTGTAATCTAAATGAGATCACTGGTGAACATCTATTTACCAAATGATTCTCCTGTCTTTTTTTTAGTTCTGGAACAAGTTGAGTTATTAAAAACGGGGATATGTCTAATAGAGGTGGATTTTAATTGTGTGTGAAACCCCCAAATTGATAAAAAAAAATTATCCAAAAAATAATCAATAAATTATAGATTAGATAAATTGGCTAAATCTTTGAGTAGTTATATGAATAAATTAGATTATGTTGATTTGTGGAGAGCATCATATCCTGGCAAATTTTGATTTTACTTTTTTTTTCTAGAGTACACCTATTGTACTTGCGGATTGACATGATAACCTTGCCTTTTTTGGAAAATTTAGAAGATATACAAATTTTAGCTAACTCTTGGTCAGACCACTAACATGTGGATAATGAAGGATAACTGGAACAAAAATAATAGAGGGACCTGGCAGTTAAATGATCAATTACTGTATAATCGAAAATATCTGGAGATATTTAAAAAAACAGATAAAAGTTTTATTGTAGAGAACGATCCTATGGATACCTCATACACTAATAATTGGTGTGCTTTTAAGTATATCATGAGAGGTAATTTCATCAGTTGTCATGCACAGTTTAAAAAAGAAATAGTGCAGATATGGCAAATATGCAAGCGCTCTTAAAGCGGCACTTTAGTGGCCGCATCCTGTTTTTCTAACCCCTCTCCCTACTCCACTACATCTAATTGTCCCCCTAGTCACCCCCAAATGCCCCTAAGCCCCCTATATTACCTAATTTTTTATCTTTATTTTCTGCCCAGACCTAGGTCCTGGGTGCCGCCATCTTTGTGTGGGTAGATGAAGTCCCTGTGGGACACTTCATCTGCCCACACTAGATAGCGCTGTGAAATTATCAACACATGCCCAGTAAAACACTTAGGCATGCAAATGGAAATTTAATCTATTCATTCATTCGCCAGAAAGACAAATGAATGAAAAGAAATTTCAGATGAACAAACAAGCACCGAATATCCTCCCTCACTCTATGGGGGTCAATATGACCCCCATAATAGCATAAGGGAGTGTAGCAGAGAGCTGGAATTACACAGCCTATCTCCACTTTAGATCCCAGTAAGGCTCAGGAACAAGTATAATAAATCCACAGAGTAATGATTCCAGCAGGCAAAAAGTCTCCAACAATATCCCAATCGCAATCCCAATGACTGGACGACACACAGCATCAGGAGCAGAACTAAACTTTTATTCACAGCAGCTCCTTATAAAGGATTCTCCCATGCAAGGGAGGGATTTAATTAAGACAGTAGCCAATAATACAGCGGTTCCCTCCCCTACTTTCCCTCCCCTCAGAGTGACACTTAATCCACTTAATGCTGGCACCTTTTTCCCCGTTTCTTGGATGCAGGCCCGGACTGGCCATCGGGCACACTGGGCAAATGCCCGGTGGGCCGCGGTGGCCATGGGCCGAGGCCGGCAGGGGAGGTCCCAGGATCTCCCCTGCCGGTCTATGCAGGGCCGGCACTCTCCTAGCGCCGGCCCCGCTGTCTTCCAAATGCGGCCGCCGGCGGGGAGAGAGGGAGGGAGACAGACAGCCGCCAGGAGGGAGGACCCGGCGGAGCTCTAGCTTGCAGCTCCGCCGGGTTCCTCTCGCCAGATCCGGCGCGTTGCCATGGCAACGACCGGATCTCGCGAGAGTGAACTCTAGCCTCACATTTCATATCTGAGAGTCATTTCATATCTGAGAGTCAAATAGAACCGTCAAATACTGTGCTTAAATTGCCGTTTTAAACATTCGAATTCTTTAGGTGCTAAAAAGTAAATTTGGTGCCTGCACTTCATATCTGAGAGTGAAATAGAACTGTCAAATATTGCTGTGACACAGCAGTTTTAAACATTCAAATTCTTTAGCTTCTAAAAAGTAAATTTGATACCTGTACTTCATATCTGAGAGTCAAACAGATGTGCTTACATTGCAGTTTTAAACATTCAAATTCTTTAGGTACTGAAAAGTAAATTTGCGGCCTGCATTTCATATCTGAGAGTCAAATAGAACTGTCAAATATTGCTGTGACATGGCAGTTTTAAACATTCAAATTCTTTTGCTGCTAAAAAGTAAATTTGATACCTGCACTTCATATCTGAGAGTCAAACAGGACCATCAAATACTGTGCTTACATTGCAGTTTTAAAAATTCAAATTCTTTAGGTGCTAAAAAGTAAATTTGGGGCCTGCACTTCATATCTGAGAGTCAAATAGAAGCATCAAATATTGCGGTGACACAGCAGTTTTAAACATTCAAATTTTTTAGGTGCTAAAAAGTAAATTTGATACCTGCACTTCATATCTGAGAGTCAAACAGAACCATCAAATACTGTGGTCACAGCGCATTTTTAAACTTTCAAATTTGTTAGGTGATAAATTGTACATTTGTGGCCTGCACCTCATATCTGAGAGTCAAATAGAACCGTCAAATACTGTGCTTACAGCGCAGTTTTAAAAATTCAAAATTTTTTGCTGCTAAATAGTACATTTAGGATGTGCACTTCATATCTGGTGTTTGTGTGCAACACTGGCTAGTTACTGCTTCTCAAGAAAGTATAAAGACTTTTTTTTTTAAAGTGAAAAATAAGTGTTATTGTGATCCCTTCATATACAGAAGCATTAATATACATTTCTATATTGTGTAAAGACACAACTACAACCTTAAAAACCAAACACCAAAACAACGTGCCAGACAATCTACCTGTGCATGGCTAGTGTGATACAATAAGTCTACATCTTAAAAATGCAATAACCCACAGAAGATGGGTGAGAATTTTTTTTTTTTTTTTGATAATGGAACTTTTATTCGAATTTACTACATCGGTCACTTGTAATATTGTTTCACACCTACAACACTTGTTAAACAGATCTAAGTGATAGAAAACAGACTGATATTTTCTACACTAGAAACTACCAGATAACAAGCTGCTATATTTAAACCAGTTATCAATAGCTAAGAGGTACTTCAACAATATTGTAATTCTGGGGTAATACCCTCACAAGTCAAACTGAGGTCAGTTTATAGGGAAAACTGTTGCCTGGATACAATTCTAAAACAATTTCCATATGTCCTTTGCAGACTTTACATGCTGGAGGTGCCAACTGCTGTGGCTTTCTGCAGTGTGCAGACCGGCAAGGAGGGCAGGGTTTAGGAGTGGGTGAAAGATGATGTGGAGGATGATGAGGTCCTAGACCCCACATGGAATGAAGGTCATGCGAGTGATGTGTGCAGTTTGGAGGAAGAGGCGGTGGTCGCACAGAGGCACCAGCACAGCATCAGAGGGAGAAGGGTGCAAAAGCGGAGCGGCCGTCCCCTTGCGCTCGTCGGCATGTATTAGCTCTAGAATTACCATAGTTATCCAAGTAACAGATGGAACAATCAAAGGAACCATAACTGATTTAATGAGCCATTCACAGTTTCACTATAGTGGCTGTGCGCGCTTTCGGCGTTCTCACCCTGCTGCTCGCCTGTCTGTGCTGCAGCGATACTTTGGCCTTCCCGCTCACCGCCTCATATGCGAGGTGCCCACATGGTGGAACACCTAGCACATGCTGGAGAGACTGTGCGAGCAGCAGCAGACGATAGCGGAGTTTCAGCTGCAGCACGCACGGGTTAGTCGCTCTTCACCAGACTTGCCCTCCAATAGATCCTCGTTAAAGGATTTAAAGTGGACTCATTCCAATTACAGGACCTGGAAAGAGTCCTGTATTGTTATTTATCGTCACTACTTCCCTGCATCGGGAGTGAGTTATTTGCGCACCTGCTGCTTTCCTTGGATGTGGTAACTGTTTCTCTCCGGCATCAAACCCTGATTCCCCATTACCCGTGGTCACCATGGAAGGCGCAGATAGTAACATCGAAAGCTGATAGGGCAGACATCCGAATGCGTCGCTGCTGCCACAGTCACGCCTCCTCAACCTCCTACTCCACCTCCTCCTCCTACAGCAGGGTGCAAAAGCGGAACGGCCATACCCTAGACAGTACGCCTGCTACTGCCCACCGCACCCAGGGACCGAGCACACCAAAGCCAGCTCCAAGAAATTCCCTGGCATGGCAGTTCTTCAGACAATGTGCTGACGACAAGACACGCTGTGCAATCAGAGCATGAAGTGAGGCATAAACGTGCTAAACCTGAGCACAACCTGCATGATCAGGCATCTACATGCAAAGCACGAGCTGCAGTGGAGTAAGCACCTCAAAAACCAAGAAAGATCCAGGCTCCTCCTGCTTCCTCTTCTGCTGCTGTCTCGGCCTCTTCCTCCACCTCTGGAGTGACAGTGGCACCTGCCACCCCACAAACAGAGGATATGGCAGCAACGCCACCATGTCCGCCACCGTCCCCAAGCATCTCCACACTGTCCCATGGAAGAGTTCAAGTGTCCATCTCCCAAACACTGGGGAGAAAGAGGAAGTACCCCCTACCCACCCGCAATTCCTGGCCCTGAATGCCAGCATTTCAAAATTCCTGGCCTTTGAAATGCTGTCATTCAGTCTGGTGGAGACTGACAGTTTTAAAAACCTGATGGTGTTATTGGACTGCAAGAAATGCACCGCAGGCCGCAAATGTTTCTTTTTTTATATGTCCCAATATTTTGGGGGCTACCCCAATTAAAATAAAAAATATATATAAAAAAAACAGTGTTGGCTACCTCCTCCTCCTCTACCGCCGCCTCCACCTACACCGCCACGGCCACTGCCTCCTCAACCTATGGGTCACTTGGTATAAACTATGTACACAATAGCAGAGGCTTGTGAAGGCCTTTTCTCCATGCATCAGGAGTTGAGCTCAGTTTGAACAATGAAAGAGAATACCCTGCACTCCAACCCTCTCTCAAATTGATAATTCTGGTGATCCCCCTGACAGCCATGCTTTAGATTTTGATTTATGTTCTTCCAAAGCTAAAATCAAAGATTCCATCTAGTGCTATTTTATGGCTCAGCTGTATTTTTAATTGTTATGTATTTTATGTTATTTTAAGTGATTTCCCTATCCACATTTGTTTGCAGTGCACTCGTCGTACTCTTACCCCCATTTTACTTCCTTTTGCAGCCCTCCAGCCCTTTCCAGGACTTTTTAGAGGCATTTAAGTGCCCAAAAGTTCGGGTCCCCATTGACTTCAATCGGGTTCGGGTTCGTGGTCAAGTTCAAGCCCAAACTCGAACTTTTTGACAAAGTTCTGCTGAACTCGGCGAACCCGAACATCCAGGTGTCCGCTCAACTCTAATGACAATATGTTTTGTAAAATATGAAAGCATGTACAAAATGTGGAAATAAGATAACTATTAGTGTTTTGTTTTAATGCTGCATTCATGTTAAACTCTTTACTTCTAGATTAACCAGTTTTACAATCCCTGCATTTTTAATGAACAACATATATCATAGAAATTTAGAATAGATTCTGCTCTACTGGTAATATATACGAAACTGTAATTAGAGAAATAACATATGTATTATTTTATAGCCGTTCTTTAACATTTTATAATTTCTCAGTCTCACGTTCCAACAGTAGAAGATTCAGAGATATTGGTCAAGTCCTGGTACCCAAGATCTATAACCTTTCTGGGGGCAGTCTAGGACTGAAGAGCAGCTCAGCTGTCTTAGAGGAGAAGAACTGTGTTTCAATAATGCTGGAAGGCAGAAAAGAAAGCTACTCCTACACTACTGTTATCCCATTATCCAGCTCTCTCTCTACTTCCATCTTATCGGCTTCACTAGTTATATTAATATGGATCTTTTACACTTCAGCCGGATATATTTATCTGCAGTTTGTGTTATGCACATTTTAAATTAAAAAACAAAAAAACAAGTGAATACAAAGGCACGTATGATAACAGTCCTCTGGTAGAATCTTAAAAAAGGGATAATGGGTTTTGGGAAAAAAGCAGCACCCTAATCAGTGTAACAGTTCATAAAACACACAACAAATACAAGAAATCTATGTTGTTGAGCTGTGTCTTTAAGACAAAACCTGTTTTAACCCCTATATTAGGTGGCTCTAAATGCCGCCGGGCGTAATAGTACGCCCTCCGGTCTTTCTTTACTTACCCGGTCGCCGGATCGCGGTTGGAGCCCCCCCGCAGCAGATCTTCCTCCTCCGGTCCCCCCCGGCCATGTGAGAGTGAGGTCCTTGCGAGGACCTCACAATCACATGGCCAGGATAGCTGCCTCCTGCATTGTCAGCAGGGGGGCTGCCAGAAATGACAGGTAGTCCCCCTGCTGGCTGGAAATAAAATAAATAAAAGTTAATCAGTGTAAAAAAATAATAATATATACTTAGATCATATATATATTATATATATATATATATATATGATCTAAGTATATATATATACACATATGCATACACACACGTACACTGTATAGGTGTATTTTACTATTAATATATATATAATTATATATATTAATATCAAATTACATGTAGACTGATACTGATTAAATATATATATAATCATTGTTATATATATATTTATATATAATATAAAAAAATGAAATATGTAAATACATTAAAAAAAAAATTTTAAAAAAAATTAAAAACTTTATAGATGTGTGTTATTTTGTTCTAACTGTATTGTGATATTAATATATATATATTCATATCAAAATACACATAGAATGAAATAATATATATATCTAGATACATAAATATATATGTATATATCACTATATATATATCTATATATAAATAAAAATATAAAAAAAAAATTATATATATATACATATACATATATATTCACAGACGTATATATACATATATTAATTCTACATATATATTTATGTAATATTTTTACATAATTGGGTGTCTTAATTAATTAAAATTAGCGGGACCTGCCTGACAACCCATGCCGAAAGTAAAGGGAATTTTATTTGCTAGCACTATATTTAACCCTATAACTTTCCAAGACACCATAAAACCTGTACATGGGGGGTACTGTTCTACTCGGGCTACTTCGCTGAAGACAAATATTAGTGTTTCAAAAGAGTAAAAATGTATTACAACGATGATATCGCCAGTAAAAGTGAAGTTTTTTGCATTTTTCACGCACAAACAGCACTTACACGGACGATATTATTGCTGCGATACTTTTTACTGTTTTGAAACACAAATATTTGTGTTCAGCGAAGTCTCCCGAGTACAACAGTACCCCTCATGTACAGGTTTTATGGTGTTTTCAAAAGTTACAGCATCAAATATAAGGTTTGTGTTTCATTTTTTTCACATTAAAATTCGCCAGATTGGTTACGTTGCCTTTGAGACCCTATGGTAGCCCAAGAATGAAAATTACCCCTATGATGGCATACCATTTGCAATAGTAGACAACCCAAGTTATTGCAAACGGGGTATGTCCAGTCTTTTTTAGTAGCCACTTAGTCACAAACACTAAGTGAAGATTAACAGCTGACTCTTTTTCATGCCAAAGAAGCAGAAGAAAAATCTGTATATATCACGATTCGGGAACCTAACACGCTAACAGGTCACAGAGAGGAAGGGTGCTATACCGGTCCTTAGAATGGCCGGGTTAAGCACACTAAGAATAGTCAGGAGACAAGCCAGAAAATGGGAGAATGAGAAACAAGCCGAGGTCAAAGGAGTGGAGAATACAGGAGAATCGGAATAACGAGCCAAATAATCGGTAACCAGAGAGCAATACGAGAAAACAGCACTACAGGTATCACAAGACCACAACAGGGCACTGATAGACAGGAAAGGTAAGTATATAACAGCAGTGCTTAATTCTGATTGGATAATTTCCAATCAGAATTAATAATCACACGTGGGAGATATCTATACCTCCCACTGTGATTAGGGTACTGTGCCTTTAACGCTGGGTCACGTGAGCGACCCTGGCGTTTACATAAAAGCCGGGACTCCCAGCGTGCAGCATTACACATGCTGCCGCCGGGAGGCGAGGAGGAGGAAGCGGGCAGCTGCGAGAGGAGGCTGCACGCCACCCGCCCACAGGTATGAGGAGGGGGGACCGCGGAGCCCTGACAGTATATATGTTCACAAAAAGAGCATGATAGTCACTCCTGAGAACACACAGGATAAAGAGTAAATACCTCCAATATTATGTAAGTAGGATACAAAAGAGGAAAGGGAGAAAAGAAGGAAAAGAGAGAAAGAGAAAAAGAAGATTGGCTTTAGTTTATATTTCTCTATTTCCCCTGTATCCTTTGGTGTGGGATATTGGAATTTTGTTTTTGGCAGCTTACATCAGCTATATAAAGGAAAACGTAATGAGTAAATAAAGAAAAATATGGCCTCAAAAAAATACAAGAAGACAAGAAGAAAAGAGATAAAAAGGAAAAACAACCAGAGAAAAGATTATCTGGATTATTTCCCCTTCTCAAAACAAATCACAATTAACTCAAGATAACTTGGAAGTTACAACTACTGTAAATAATCCTATTCAGGATGCCCAGGGACATATGCTACTTACAGAAGAAGTTTTGACCAGCTATTTGGAGAAATGTTCTAAGTCTGTTAAAGAAGACATTATGACTAGCACCATGAAAGTAAAGCAAGAATTCAAAACTATGCAGGATAAACTGGCTACAATAGAAGCAAATGTTCTACATATAGACACAAAGTGCAACCAACTTTAGGCAACACTTGCAGATATGAAGTCCAAAGTCTGCCAACTGGAAGTTAAACTGAACGACATAGAGGTTCAAGAAGATCAAACATCAGAATCAGAAATTTACCGGAGGCCATTTCCAAAATTGAGATCAAAGATTTCCTCATGGAATACTTCAGTTGTTTAATACCATCAGGAACAACATATGACCTTCTGCTGGACCGATTTCATCGTCTTCCCAAACCACAAAGTGTATCAGATTCCCTCCCACGAGACGTCATTGTCAAAGTCACTTTTTTTCCACACTAAGTCTAGAATTATGGACTTACTGAGAAGCAAACCGGTTTTGGAGGAGAAATTTGAAAAATCTATCATTTTTTACAAGATCTTGGAGAAAAAGCTTCAGTCTTAACTTGAGTATTCTGAAACAAAATAATGTGAAATATAATTGGGGCTATCCCACAGCTCTCAGAGTGTACTGGGATGGAAACATTTTAATTTTTGAAAATCCAGAAAAGCTTGTCAGTTGGATGTAGAAAGTCCAGATAGCAGGTTAATAGTTAACAGTAAGATATAAGCGAAGACAAGGTGACATGAAAAAGAGAATACTATAAAGCAATTAAATTCTGAGCTTTTTATTTTTTCTTTAAGTATTCAGTTATATATAAAGAGAAGGAAGATCCCTTAGGTAGTAAGTGCACAAGGGTATTATTAAGGTTATACTATAAGACAATATCTCACTAGGCCATGAGGTGGAGAACACATTAAATTGTTATATAAATTGAAACTGGCTCGTTAGAAGGGTATGGAATGCCACAGGCAAACTACTAATTCACTAAATAAGTAAATCATTTTCACAGAATAATTTCAAGAAACATATACAATTCTGTTAAACTTAATGGATAGAACTGTATGGTACATTATATATGTAACGTTTTATGTTTCACTTAAAATATTTCTCATGGGCACTGAGATGAGAAGGGAGAATAAAGAGGGAAAAGAGTAAAGTAAATTATAATTTTGTTCCTCTTCTTTCTCTTAGTATTTAGGTATTTATAAAGAGATGGAGGATTCCTTGGGTAGTAGGTGCACGAGGTTATCACTAAGGACATAGAATAAGATAGTATTTCATTAGGCATGAGGTGGAGAAAACAGTAAATTTTTATAAAAACTGAACCTGGCACGGTTAGAAGGGTGTGTAACGACATATGTAAATCACTAATTCAACTAATAAGTAAATAATTTTCACAGGATAATTTTTACAAATAAGTACAAGTCTGCTAAATTTAAGGGTTAGATCTGTGTGGCTCATCATATTTGTAGAGCATGTGACATTCAAAATAGGGAAAAAAAGCAGAAGAGAAAAAAAGAGAAAGAAGGAGGATAATTATTTTTGGGTAAGAGTGACAACGCTCTATCTATTGGAGCAAAAACTCTATAAATAGGTGTCAACTGGAAGATATTAACGAGAAAATAATAAAAAAATGTAATAGTTGCATGTACCTTATAACCTTTAAGTCACCATATATATGAAACGTTATTCAGAAAAAGAATGTCCTAAGCCCAATGGAAAAGCCTCTTGTTGCTCTAAGTTGTTATCTCTACTATTCAGAATTTGGACTTTAATAAATATTGGTCTATAAATCTAGGTATTTACTCTCAGAAAGATACCCTCTATGAATGACTGGTAGAGGGTTAACAGAGAGATGGGGAAAGAGAATATAGGTGCTTTCTCCAATTAATCTCTTAATACATTAAAGAGAGTTAAGTGATCACAGTGTTAGAGATGGGATGGAATGCATGAATCAGCTGGCTGTAACAAAGTTATTCTAATTTGGTAAATATATAGCAGTAAAATAGCCTTGTAAACCTAGTATTCTTAGAATGACCTCCTGAGTCAACCTTATGACTAATAGTTAAGGTTGCAATATGTGGTCTTTATATCAAAGAATGTACAGGGAAAATATGCAGCTGGCATGAAACCAAATGCTGAGTATTGGGCTATAGATCCGTGCTGGGATCAAAGTGTTAGCTCAAACAGCAGACCCAGAATCTCTATGATGCTGATAATACCTTCGACATACAAGAGGAAAAAGAATTGAAAAAAATATTGCTAAGTGCTAAACGTGCAGAACCATGCTTAGAATGCTGGTTGCCTGCACTGTGAAAGTGCCCTGTGAAGAGGTGGAGGAAACCCGATGCAAATTTAATGTTGTAAAGCACCATGGAATAATTATGTGCTATATAAATGTCAATCATTTTGAAATATTTTCTTCAAATTACAGACAGAACCATTAACCTTGTGTGCACCTTCGTCAGGGGTAAAATGCGCATCGGGTTTCCTCCACCTCTTCACAGGGCACTTTCACAGTGCAGGAATAATAGGTTGATGAGGACCTACAATGTAGAGGAGGGGTATAAAGACACAATAGGAAGGACAGTGTGTGAGAAAGTTGGACGATGAGAGTAAAGTGGAGTGCAGACTGGACTCACTAATTAAGATGATTGAGTAAAAGAGAGATTTGATGAATGACAGGATGGGAATCACATGTCAGGCTCCGGCAGGCACAAGATTTTAAGCCGCCCTCCCCGGTCTCCAACCCCCAAATAAAGCAGATAAAGTATTTTATTTAAAATGTATCAACTGGATGCCTAAAAACATCTAAAACCACATTTATATTTGACAAATGCATATTTATTTTCCCCCTGAAGAGCCACCTGACCGGCGAAACGTACGTCGGGGCTCCTTACCCAGTGCTGACTGCTGCTGATTTCCCCCTGACAACTTAGCGTTAACACTCCATTTTCACGCTCGCAGATCTCAAAGAGCGAGATATTCCTACCCGCAGTTAGATCTGGGCATCCTCAGATCCTGTTAATTACTCAGACTACTATAGCTAGCTTTCCTCCTCTGATAGGTGCCCTCGAAGGCACAGCATAGTGTACTATTGTAGGGTGTGATTTACCGCATAGATTTAGACCTTTCTTCTTCAGCTCATTATCTTATACTTTATCCTGTTATCGGTACACAGTGATAGATAGCTTTTTGTTTCTTGACAGGTGCCCTTGAAGGCACAGCATAGTGTATTATTGCAGGGTATCGATCTACTTATTATTTGGTTATCACATCTCTACTGCTTAGTATTACTAGCAGATTAATTATCTTCTTAGGTGCCCTTTGAGGCACAGACCTAACGTACCTCCGCTTTACACTGTTCCTAGACACCTCTATATACATAGTCTGTATATATTTAGCAGTGTTAACATATTTTATTATTCTTCCCGCCATTATTATTATTTATTTATTATTTTCTCTTGACGGCATTTATTTCTTGTCCACATGTGCCAGCAGAGCTATTATATGCCTCTATATGTAAACGAGTATCATCAACCTGTGCTGCTTATATTATTGAATGACCTCGTACATCCCTTAGCTCTCCATCTTAACAACAGTTTTTGTCATTAACTCTGCGACCCTATCAGGACCTGATCTACCGTAAAATATATCAGCCGCTGTATTCCTTATCTACTCCGACTTTTAGGAGTCACTGGATACTTCAGGCTTGCAACTTAGTATACTTCATGATAACAGATACAATGGTCTCACATTGAGTCATGTATCTTTTCATCTCTAGTGATCAGAGTTAACTTAGACCTTGTCTTTTTCGATACACATTTTCTACTGTGCAGTCTCCACCTAGTGGCTACATTGGAGACTGCCTTCTGCTATACTTTATCTATTTTCTCTTGTACATAGTTTTTCTATCGTGTAGTCTCCATCCAGTGGTTACATTGGAGACTGCCTTGATTTGTATTTATCTGTATATATTTTGCCTTTCTGTATTTAATAAAAGTTAAAGGACCACTCTAGGCACCCACACCACTTCAGCTTAATGAAGTGGTCTGGGTGCCTGGTCCTTCTAGGGTTAACCCATTTTTTCATAAACATAGCAGTTTCAGAGAAACTGCTATATTTATGAATGGGTTAAGCCTTCCCCTATTTCCTCTAGTGGCTGTCTCATTGACAGCTACTAGAGGCGCTTGCGTGCTTCTCACTGTGATTTTCACAGTGAGAGCACGCCAGCGTCCATAGGAAAGCATTGATAATGCTTTCCTATGTGACTGGCTGAATGCGCGCGCAGCTTTTGTAAGTTTTAACCCCTTTCCCCCTTCCAGAGCTGGGCGGGAGGGGGACCCTGAGGGTGGGGGCACCCTCAGGGCACTATAGTGCCAGGAAAACGAGTATGTTTTCCTGGCACTATAGTGGTCCTTTAAGTTTTAACTAACATACCCTCACTTAGGCTTAGAGCTAGTTCTTCTCGCTTTTCTCAGGGCCGTCTTTAACGCGGGGCAAACGGGGCAGCTGCCCCGGGCCCAGTTTCTCTTGGGGGGCCCGAGGCACCTGCCCCGTGGGCCCCGCTGACCCCGGCGGGCAGTCTGGGTGGCCGGCCGGTCGGGCAGGAAGGCGGGCGCGAGGGAGCACTCAGTGCTTCCTCTTCCGCTCCCTCGCGCACCGCTCTGATGCCGGAGCCGGAAGATGACGTCATCTTCCGGCGCCGGCATCCCTACGCGGCGCGCGAGGGAGCTGAAGAGGAAGCAGTGAGTGCTCCCTCGCGCACCTGCCTTCCTGCCCGACCGGCCAGGAGCCCAGCAGCACCACTGGACCCCAGGGAATCCCCCCAGCACTCCAATAGGTAAGGAGGCTGGGGGGATTACATTTAAAAAAAAATGTGTGTTTGTGTGTATGTGTGTGTTAGTGTGTGTGTGTGTGTGTGTATTTGTGTGTTAGTGTATGTGTGTTAGTGTATGTGTGTTAGTGTATGTGTGTTAGTGTATGTGTGTGTTTGTGTGTTAGTGTGTCTGTTTGTGTGTTAGTGTGTCTGTTTGTGTGTTAGTGTGTCTGTTTGTGTGTTAGTGTATCTGTGTGTTAGTGTATGTGTGTGTTAGTGTATGTGTGTGTGTCAGCATGTCTGTGTGTGTGTGTGTCAGTATGTCTGTGTGTGTGTGTCAGTATGTCTGTCTGTGTGTCAGTACATATGTGTGTGTCAGTATGTGTATGTGTCAGTATGTCTGTCAGTGCGTCAGTATGTCTGTTAGTGCATGTGTATGCATGTGTCAGTATATCTGTCTGTGTGCCAGTATGTCTGTGTGTGTGTGTCAGTATATCAGTCTGTGTGTGTCAGTGTATGTGACTGTGTGTGTGTGTGTCAGTATTTCTCAGTGTATGTGGGTGTCAGTATGTCTGTCAGTGTGTGGGTGTCAGTATTTCTGTCAGTGTATGTGTGTCAGTATGTTGATCAGTGTATGTGACTGTGTGTGTGTGTCAGTATGTCTGTATATGTGCCTGTGTCAGTATGTCTGTCAGTACGTCTACCAGTGTATGTGTGTGTGTCAATATATGTACCTGTGTCAGTGTGTCTGTCAGTGTATGTGCCTGTTTATCTGTATGTAGTCAGTGTATGTATCTGTGTATCTGCTTGTGCGTCAGAGTGTGTACCTGTGCATCTGAGCCGCAACTTTAAATACAAATACACCCCTCCATCAACACTACATATAAAACACACTCCTGCATTGAAACGTCAACACTACATACAAGCACACTCCTACATTCAAAAACAAACACTACACATAAATGCACACTTGCATTCAAACTCTAGTACCACATACAAACACATTCACACAAACATACTCCATACAAACACATGCTTACATTCAAACATACTAACATGGCTCAGTGCTAAATACAACCCTGCAAGCATGGGAAAGTGGTAGAGTCCCAGCTGTCAAAGCATTGTTGGAGTTGCACGACAGATGGGGTTCTACCTTTAGTCCAACCTTGCAATTGGGGGTCCCAATAAAATTCATTCTACTTTAGTACCGCCACTGCGTTGGGATGGATGCCGTGATTGCATACCAGGGAGTGAGGGGCGAGAGCGGCAGGGCACAGGGGGCCCAAGCAAACACTTGCCCAGGGTCCATTCGTTATTAAAGACGGCCCTGGCTTTTCTCTATTACTAATTTGGGTTCATGTCTTGCTCTATTAGCTCACCTTATAACTAATATTCTCCTACTCTTTCCTCTATTAATGTATATAAGGGATCCTGTTCCCTGAAACCAGCAGTCTTGGTTTTTTTTCTGTCTGTTAGGCAGCTTATTTTTTCTTTTAAAGCTCATTTACCATAAGTTTTTTTAATATGGCCCCCCTAGGGAATTCAGTCTCTCTTCCCTAAGGAAGAACCCAGATACAGCCCAGGCTGTTTGCGACTCCCTGGGTTATGATTACTAATTTAGAAAATAGTAATTGAAGAAACCTTTGTCTCTATTATAATCTAAGGAGATATAATAATATATAAATACTTAAAGTCATTATATTGGAGGTGGTAAAGAAGTCATTTTATGTGGGCACTCTGTATCTCCCCTTTGTTATCTCACCCTAGCCGGAATTCTGATTCCGGAAATTGGTGTACAAAGATTGAGGACGTCGCCACAATTCTATTAAAAATTATATTTAATTCTATCAATAGTTCCCTTTACTTGGTTTCCCCTGTTAGGGTCTTATCTGACCTTTTTGGGGCACTGTTGGGTTTTCCAGTACCTTTTACCTGAACTATTACTGTTCCTGTGTTCCTTGCTGCTTGATCGTCGAAATCCAAAATGGCAGATCGGCGTCTTCCAGGAGTTAGCGCACATGAGCGAGTCTTAAGGCACCAGTAATATATAAATGACACTTAAGGTAGAACGGTGGTCCAGTTCAATTGCTAAAACTACTGTTTTTTGCGGTTAAAGGTGGTCCAGTTCAATTGCTAAAACTACTGTTTTTTGCGGTTTTCTTTGTTGGAAAGTGTTGGATATCTCTTCCTTTGTTGCTGTAAGGTTTACTTTTATTCTTTTGCATTCTGGATACTTTTATTTTTAAGTAACTTTTGAGTGACTTTTAGCTACTTTATGGTTATTCCACATGTATTTATTATTTAAATTCAGTTTTATTTTTGCCCCTTTTTGTTATGGCTTCCTCTGCCTCAAGAAGTAGGATTCAAAGTATAAGGTGAGCTTTTCTTGTGAGATAAAAGAGTGCAATTAGCTATACCTATTTATGGTGGCCCATACATATATGTATATTCATTCTATACTATGCACATATATTGCATCCACAGTTATAGAAGGGGAAAAACTTCTGCCAAGACGTTTTCCGCATCATAGCCAAAGAAGGAGAAACCCCTAGCATGGGGCTAGAAGATATTATTGGTAGGGCTTTAGCTCCAGGAATTAAGGAGTAGACTTCTAAGAGTCATACCTCATAATAAAATAAAAGTGCAGGGTAAGATTCCTCTAGCTCCCAATCCGATGTGGAATTGCCTAAGCAATCTGATTATTCTGATGATGAAGAATCCATGGAATATCCCTATAATTTGGATGGAAAATAAGTGGATTCCCTTATCTTTCTTATTAAAGATACTTTATGAATCCCCGAAGAACATGGTGATCTAATAGAATCAGATGTATATTTTAAAGATCCGCACAGGAAAAGAGCTACCATTCCTTTCCTATCAAAGAGTTAATGGAAACAGAATTGAGAACACTAGAAAAGGGCTTTTCAACCCAAGGGAAGTTCTATAGGCTTTATCCTCTCCGGGCTGGTGACACTAAGAACTGGAATACTGCACCTAAAGTAGATGCAGCTATTAGCAAAGTGGCAAAGAAAACTGTCCTACTCGTTGACAGTGCTGCTCATTAAGGGACCCTATGGAAAAGCGTATGGACATTAACCTCATTAAGACCTGTACGTCTCTTGGAGCAGCTATGCTTCCATCAGTGGAGTTAACATTATTATTCATAGCCTTGAGAGTATGGACAACAACCCAGAGTGAAGACATTACCATGGGAACCAACAGAGAAACTCTGCTAGCTGTCCTCAGATTCTTTTACTGAAGCTTTGGTTGATATAACAAACCTAATCTCCAAAGCAATTGGCCATTCTTTAGCCACTAAGATAGCTCTATGGCTTAGAACATGAGAAGAAGATAACTCGTCCAAAACTAATCTGTGTTTGCTCCCATTCCAGGGCAATCTCCTCTTTGGTAGATCATTAGATGAAGCTATCTCTAAAGCCGCCGAGGAAAAGAAAGCACTCCTCCCACAGGATAGAAGAATGAAGAGATACTTAAACGGTTGGGGAA